TTTTCTTCAATTATATCGTGGTATTAATTGTTCATCCGAACGACGCTTCCCTGCGGACGATCGGCTGTCACCTCGTTCGCTAATATTTCACGTCAATTAATTGAAAGTAATTTAACATTAAAATATTTAAATAGCGCCGGTCGACTAAAATCACGCAGGTACATCATCACGATATACAGAAATAGCATGAATCTGACAAGAATTAATGAGAGAATTCTTCATAGCGAATATGAAATTGACTTCTCTTTAACAAAAATTTGATGGAAAGCCATTACTTGTCACTTTTCAAAATTTTTTGTCAAAAAAGTAATTACTGCTTAAATCAAATTAATCAAAGTCGACTTCTAAAATTTAAATGAAACATGAATTTTCTTTCTTCAATTCTTTAGAAGATATTAATTTTTTGTTCGACATTTAAAAAAATCACTAATGCTCAATTTTCCTAATACATAAAATTAATTATGCATATTAATAAGAAAGAAAATTAATATAATTACATAAATTCATCTTTGCAGAACAAATCTTGCTCTGCAAGCAAAAAATCAAATAATTAGCTAATTATTTTAAATATATTCGATATAATCGTATATATTAAATTTATTATATTTAGCGTGTTACGGTGTTAGGTAATAATTTTGGAAAACCATAAATTCAAAAATTCTACACCATAAAATGTAGAATTATCAGAAATACGTATATAAATATGTATTGTATTTTAAAAATCTACAAGTCATATCAAAATAACAAACATTTATGTTTCCGTACCAATATTAATCTTACGGATACAACAAGTAAACCAATCAATACATCCGCTTTTATAAAATTTTTTTCATATCGCAAATTTGATCACTATAGATTATTGTGTTAAAACAAATAAATTGTACCTTGTCGAATTCTGTACTCTGAGTCTTGTTTTTCTCTAATTTTTTTAATACTACACTTTTAAAAACTTTTTAAATTTTTTTCTTTATAATTAAAGATTATATGAAAAGCATATAAATATTTTTTCTGAGTGTAATGATTATAAGACGCAAAACATTAATGATGATACAATTATTCAAGTAATATTTCAATATTCATTAATTCAATATGCATTTGACGCAGAATGCATATCATTATGATATTAGAGCGAACAATCAGCATTTCAAATTTCTCAGAAGCGAGAGGATTATACGATAATATCTATTTCCACAACTTATAACTATAAAGTTCAAAGAACAATAATCTCCCCATCCGACTTGAAATGTAATACATTGAATTGAAACATACAACCTTACGATATAACCTATTGGTTGTTCAAGTTATTTAATATGATGATGGAGAAAAGTCGACTCTTTCAAAGCGAGTTCCGCAACAAAGTTTCCACGAAAAATCGATTCTACAAACAGCAAGAAAAATTAATGTTTACAAACGAAACAGAGTAATATCTTTATATAATTCCGTTGGATTTTTAAATCAAGTTGCTTTTGTACGCTGAGAAATTGCAACAGACATTACGCTGATATATCATACTGAAATGACATAAACATCATGGAAAATTTACTTCAATTTCGTTGCATCATACTCTTTTCAATTTGCTTTATATAAAAATATCCTAATTATTTATGACAATCTTGTTCACTATCGTGTATTATCATCGCGTTGCTCTAAACGTGAATACAGCATAAAATGCATACGTCTGCACCATATATAACTTTTAAACCAACTACACGTATCCACAATAACGACCTTATTATGGTTTCGTTATCTGGTTCAATGATCGATTAGCTCGAATCTACCATAGTGTCACAAGAAACCGTTGTGTTTCAAACGCGAACAAACATACGTGAGCAATCATAATATCTCGCTCGTAAATATTTTTCAAACGTATGCTATATTTACGACGAAATATTAATTAGCCTTTGAATTTTGCATTGTGATTGCATGCGCCATTAATCGTTTCTTAAATTTCGCAAACGCAATTGCCTATTGTATCTCCCGATCCCTGCGATTATTTCGTATATTTACTGTACGTATTTTTTACTCTATAAAATCCTCCCAGTATTTGCACGTATTATATTTACCCTGCTGCACATTTTAATCGAATTCTACACGCATTACATTTATACGTCTCGTGATGAATCACCTGCGCCGAATCTTGTACATATATACGTGCTATATTTATATTCACGCCTATATCGAATTTCATATTCATTATAATCACGTCGCGTAATTTCGGCGAATTTCGCTCGTCATGTCTACACCGTGCTGTAAATTGTCCTCCTCCCTTCTCCCCTGGAGAATTTTGTAAATTTAATATCAATATGGTCCTATTAATCGACCATCGTGCGCCAGGACGTATCGCACTTACGAACCGGTTCATTAATTATCAGCGAAATATTTTGCCGGTGTAACATTTACCACGCGCCATTACCCGAGTATTCGTCTCTCTTGAAACGAGTGTACGTTTTAGGAGAACATCAAATCTCATCCCGGTCTCCGTTGGATTAGAGCTTCAGATGTACCAGGGCAGTATAATTCTTTTTGTCAGAGTCAAATGCTGACAACTTTCTTTGGTTATTTTGACCGCTATTTTTAACCTGATGGTCTATCGCCCAATAAACAAGTAATAAATAATAAATAAGCTTAACAAATAAGTAAGCTTATTGTTAGTAATTCTTTAACGTTTAATAGGTAGGTGTCTTTACAGCATAGAAGCTTGCAGCAACATTGCTGTACCATTTGTACCAATGTTACTGAAATATTACTGGAACGTTACAATGTTGCTGCAATATTGCTGGAATGATCTGTGCTGTGAGCGGCTATAGCATAGTTATCTTAAAAACCTTGATTTGAGAAAGGAAAGTAAAAAGAATTGCCCAGAAGTGTTAAAGTTCATTATTTTTACATCCCTCTATCTCATAAAGAATACAATCTAAATTTAAGAAGCTTTCTACAATAAGCCATTACCTAAGATTTAAGTCATAAGCCATAAAAAATCAAACGGTCACACAGTCAAATGTGAGAAGAATAATCAACTATGATTAATTTCTTACGACTTAAGACTTAAAAATTGGATAATGGCTTATCGTAGAGAGTCTATAGATATATAAGTATACTATTAAAAAACATAATTATAAGAATAAAACTTGTTTGAGGTGTTCGGAGCATCCCACTTACCTACTTAAAAGTTAATATGATATGGTTATTAGGTCAAACATGGTGCACTTTGGTAAAACATCTAGAGCTACACCGGCTAGATACCGCGTAGCGAATAATCTCGAGGATGCATTTCCCGCCAGCGGCGTTTATATTCGTTTCGTACGTCGACGGACGTCATATATATATCGTTACGCGTTCCGCACGCAGAGCGCACGTAGCGTGGAGAATCACCGCCGCGCACACCGAACCTTTCTCGCCTCTTCCGACTTCAAAGCACACACAGAAGTTTTCCCACGAGTTTCCCTTTCCTGCGTATCTTTAGCGCGTGCGACACGAAGCTGCCGACGTTCGCAGTGAGGGAGGAAAAGTTGCGAGCGAGTTGTACCCGTCATTTGCCTAAATGCGTTTGCTTTTCGCGAGGTAAAAGTCACAAGAGATCGGAAAGCTACATCTCCTGGTCTTCCTTCTTTTCTGTCTTTTTTCCTGAATGCGTTAAATTGTTGCGACTATATTCGCTCCGTATATTGGCTATGTTCAATAAGAGAAAGTAGATTTGCAACTGCTGGAAGATTCTTTGATATACGATTGGTTTATAAGTTTATATCCAGCAAGGAAAGGCAAGAACTAATCGTATTTATCTTAGAACGCTGTTGATATTAAGAGTACAGTATTGCTATTGGTATGTAAATTTTACATCCGACGAAGTAGAACACTCTTAATTGATGTAACACAGAATTTGCATAAATTTCACACTTTTAATAACAAAATGTTTATAGATTTTTATAAGCACAATCTAATTATTAAGAAAAGAAAAAATAAGCACACTATCAAATTCATCAATTCTGTTGATCACATTTCATAATTTTAATACCAAAATATTCATAGTCTAGAGTCTAGAATTTTATAGATATAATCTAATTATAAACTTGAAAAAAATAAACACACTATCAAATTCAATTCGGTTAACTACATTTCACACTTTTAATAACAAAATATTTATACTCTAATCCTTTACATACATAAATAATATGTAATTATTAACTTAGAAGGAAAGAAAAATATAAGTACACTATCAAATTCAATCCTGTTAATCCCATTAAAGGCATAGCTTAGTGCTCAATGATTTCGCTGCGATATTGCTGGAATGATTTATGCTGTATGGGAGAAATAAAGAATCTTAAGTTGCAAAACTGCTTTTTCTGCTGAACACAGCCATCGGCCGCGTTCAGCAGAAAAAGCAGCTTTGCAACTAAAATTCTATAATATCATGGTTTTGTCTTAATTCCTCACCTAAATTCATAAACTAATCATGTTAAAGAATCTTACAGTTGCAAAGCTGCTTTTTCTGCTAAACACAGCCATTAATCGCGTTTAGTAGAACGTTTATTTTGCAACTGTTAAGAGTATTTTCTTCGCTGAGAGATAGGACTATTCCTCTATATTTAAAAGTATAATCCAACGAGCGTGAAAGAAAACTTGCAAAATAAATATTTTTCCCAACGCTGCCACTGTATATATTAGGTGTTTGACAGCGCGATATAAATCGCGATCGTCGAGGTTGCGCGTTTTATTGGCGCGCCGGATTCGAAACGAATCCCCGTACGTTGCGCCGCGCCGGAAACGCGCGCAATATACGCGACCGGATATAAAACCACGGTAAAATCTCATTATAACGAATCCCATCTAGAATCGAGTTGATCGTATCGCGATATTCGCGGAGTATCGGACGATACCCTGCTGAGTAATGGCCAATCGCGGCCGGCGACGCGGCGCGACGCCTTCGAAAAAATTACTCGTTGACGCTACTCGTCATAACGGGATTTCACCGTGCGATTATGTAACTTATGCCACACGCGCACCTTCAACAATCGATGAACACAGCACGGCGATGACACAGGCCCATACGGTGATCGTCGTCATCCTGATGCCGCTGCCGCTCGTAGCTCTCGTGCACATCACAGACAAAAGAAAACACTGCCGCGAAACAAATTCCTCCAAGTCGACGAACTTCAGGTTGTTTCGCAAACCGCGATGCGGTGATGAAACACAAATAACTCGCAGAATCGCCGAATCGGAACGGCGCTGAGAATCTGATTTTAACGACGCGGACGCGAGTCGCGGGGACGCGCGATCGTGTGATCGAAAGTCGATCCGAATCTTCCGGAGCTGCCGTACAGTCGTTCCTCGTCCGCGATATGTCGACTGGTACAACGACAGAGGCGTTACCGTGAGAGAGCGACCGGTGAGCTCGACGCGCGAAGACCGTCTGCCGCGCGCTTTACTTTTGGAGCGCTTGCGCTTCGTGAGACATCGGCGGCCAGCCGAGTTCACCCGAGCGCTCGGCGATCCCACTACGCTCCCCTACCGCTCCGCCGCACCGCCGCAACCTGCCGTTACACGTTACACCGCGCCGTGTGCGCTGCGTACCTACTTTCGTTCGTAATCTTACGTTACGCACACAAGGACACCTTCCAACGACACGACCAACGGACGACGCACGATTGTCTATGCGTTTATTTTGATACGCGCGTGTCAATCATTACCATCGAATCAACGAGACCTACGTCTCCGCGAACGTTATTCTTTCTGGTTCTTTTGCTCCGAGTTTCCCTCCCATCTGCTAACTAAAGTTCACGTGCACTGAAAGAAAGTAACGATAGCGATTACTATAATTCAGCCGTAATTTATGTAGTTATTTTCGGTATCAAATATGTACAGGGTGTCTCGAGACTGATGATAAATATTTTAAAGACAGATTCTTCGTAACATTTTCAGATGAAAAATCTAATACGATAATGCTGTGAATTGTTTTCAAATGGGAAGAGTTTAAAAATTACGAATAAGACTAGAATTTCGCGCACTCAGCGATAGTAATATGATCAGTGTGAAGGTACTTTGTTATTGTAAGTTCGAGGAAACATTTCCACGCTGATCATTTTGCCATCCTTGATCCAGTATATTTTTTTACACGAAAAAAAACCTTTCTGCTGAAATATCTAAAAGTACAAATCTGAAAATAATTTTATTGAACTGTTGAAATAATTATATAAAATGCTCAAACTGTTAGAATATAGAGATTGCTAGAATATCAAAACTTTATAACATTGCTCATTATGCTCGAATTTCCTTCATAACTATATTGATGATCCAATAAAGTTATTTTCAGATCTGTATCAATTTAGCGAGCTGACGTTATCTGTCATAATTTTGACGTTAAAACGATATCAAAGATATTTTTATGTAAATAACGTTAACTTGCCACCGGGGAAATGTTTATTCATCAAAATCATTCTTTCTGCGTAGAACTATTAATGTAATTATTACTATTAACATTATAGCAGTAATAACTAAAAAAAAATGGAGCTCCTAACCATAATTATTTTACACCACAATTTTACAAATATCAAACACTTTTCTTTCAGTGCGCGATACATTCGCGTTGCGTAAATACATACATGTATTATACATACGAAAAATTCAAACGAAAAATTCAACGGCTATTTTCACACCGCACACTAGAATTATCGCGATGATACGACTCCGAGAACCAATTGTTATCGAGTGCTTCACTTGCTTCTGTAGTTTAATCGTCGTTTATAGTTCTCGCACGAAATTCCCGATGCGACTCAAACTATCGAACGATGCGAAATAACGTACTTTGAAATATCCCATGTTCCAACGGACGCGCGACGCTGTGACGCAGTTTCTAATACGGACGACTACGTTTGGTCGGCAATTATGATGAGATATTGATCACGATCATATGGGTTAATTAACACTCTCCGGCGATTATCCGTCGTTCGATTCGACACTCCCAACCATTATTTTCACGCTTACTTTGCTCCGAACGGGAAAAAATACGAGAAAAATACAGAACGAGGTCAGCTCGCGTGTTACTTCGAGGCGCGCGCGAAACACTATGAACTTAGCGCAAAGTGACTACCAATCAGAATGAAGATAGCGTCGCGTGATACAGAGGCCGGTACTTATAGTCGAGTCTTATATTTGAGACTGTTTTAAGTACAGTCATAAGTCAATCAAAGCGCTGTATTAGCATTTTAAGACATCACTTAAGACGATCTTAATAAGAATGGACCGCCCAAAGTGCGATCAAAGATCGACATTTATAGTCCGTTCTTATTTTAAGACCATCTTAAGTAATATCTTAATACAATTCTTGGATCGGTATTTATCGTCAGTTCTTATATTTAAGACGATTTTAAATATAATTTTGAGACGTCGTAAACTAATCTCAGAGTATTAATATCTTAAAAAAGACATTGTACTTTAAACGGTCTTAATATCATACTTTTAGACAGAGCTGTATTTAGCGCAAATTGTTTTGCAATATTAAAAAAATTTGCACGTATCTTTATATAAAGGATATATAAAATATTATCAACCTTCATTTAAGAATCATTAAAAAGAATAATGCAAATTGAGACATAATGTTGGAATATTCCTACACGAATAATTACTAATTTACGTTTAAAAGAACTGCGCAAATAATATAGGATTGGACAAGCCAGAGATACCACAAAGCAAAACGCGAAATGTATGACGATACCCGTTTGTCATAATCATATAAAATACAAATAATTGTATAAATTGTGAATATTTTTCATACGTGACACTTGGTATCCGAACGGCGCCCGGCAAACAATAAAGGGGAGCGTGAACAGCGAGAGGGAGGGCGAACAGCGAGGGGAAGCGCGTTTGATTACGTCATCACTTCGGCATTTGTTCGGCGACCTTGGAGGGGGACGGCAGTGGTACGAGTCGTTCCAGATGTTGCATTAATTCACGAAAATTAGATATCTACGAACGCGAATTACTTAAGGATACCCAAGTAGTAAAATCGCCCAAAACTAAGGTGTGTATTAAGGGTTAAAATAAGAACAGATACTAAATACCGGCCTGTGATTGGTTCGTGACATCTTAAGGCTGTATTTAATTTCGAATATAAAAACCGACTGTGACTGCGTTCTATTCGTATTATTCACTGCACGTGTACTATAGATTTTCAATACTCGCAGTGAATAACGGAACACAACTTTATTAATATCGGTTAAAGTCTCACAAATAATTTGAACTATTTAATTAATCAATCAGAAGAAAGAATTTTATTAATTAACCAATCAAGGAAAGCTTTTGAAAGCATTTGTAGTATCACGTTGATCATAATCTTACGTCGTCTACAATATGCAGAGTAAGCTTGGTGTAAGAAATAAGAGTAAGAAATTGACCAATCACAGTCGAATGTGAGAAGAATAATAATCGATTGTGATTAATCAATTTCTTGCTCTTACTTTTTACTAAGCTTATTCCGCATATTGCAGACAACCGATTAGTAGCCCTCGGGCTGAATACGGATGTGTAGTGTTGTGACGACAATTACGGCAATTGATGCAATTAAATGCAAATCGGTTTACATACTTTCAGTGCTAATAAATAATTAAATTCTTTTCAGATTACGAGACTATTATGGCAAAATAATACGTAATTAAAAGGATTAAATTATTATTAACACTGAAAATATGTGAATTAATTTGTAAAAAATGTCGTTCTAAAGATAGAACGATACTTTGTGTCCTAAATTGTGTGTCCTGAAAGGAAAGCAGCCTTAATTAACTCTCTGGCGATTATCCATTGCCCGATTTGATATTCCCGACTATCATTTTCGTGCAGACTCTGCTTTGAATGGGAAAAGCACAGAGAATATACTGAACGAACATTTCTCAACGGTGCTGTTTCAAGCAAAATACTACGCTCGAATTAAGCGCAAATAAGCGCAAAATGACTACGCGAATCAAAACGAAAATAATATTTCGTGATGAGACATTTAGAGATCCATGGAAGATTTTAAATTATGAATAAACTCGCCCATGTGGCTATAGTTTCTAATTCGATTACGTTTCGTATTTGATGGATATTTTGAGAGATTGCGAGACTTTTATATTGAAATGATACAAATTGAATTTATATATGTATATGTATATGCCAATTTATTGATACAAAGATGTAACTATTTGCACGTACAGTTTCACTATTCTTAGTGGAAAGACAAAACAGAACATTCGCAGTTGCCAGCACACACGCGTATTTTAGGCCAATTATTTATTGCCACACGCACATCCGTTAATCACTCACGCTATACTCTTCGCTCGCTATGAATTCGCGCTTAATGCAACTTTACATTTGACTTAATTCAATTTTACGTAATACCCCCAAATCTATAAACCATTTTTTACATATTTCATCATGTTAGCTGAATAATTATACTAACAGTAATGCTTAGAATTTTGAATTTTGTTGACCGTATATTCTGCACAAACCAAAAGTAATGAAACGACAATTAGATTAATGTAAAATGATGTATTTTAAGAAATTCAGAATTCCAATCGATACAATTTATAACACGAAGCGACTATATCTGTTCGATGATTATGACGAAAGGTATTAATTGCGATCAACACAGGTTCATTATCACTCTCCAGTAATTATCAGTTATTCGATTTGATATTTCTGACCATCATTTTCATGCAGAACCTGTTTTGAACGGAAAATGCACGAAGAAAATCTGAAACGAAAATACACGGCGCTATTTCGAGCGAAATACCACGAATTAAACCCAAAACGAAAATAGTGATTCACTCACAATGATTTAGATTTCCGCAACGCGAGAAAAGATTCTGAATTACAAAATCATGCGTGTGTGATTACATTTCGTATTATGCTTAATGAATTTTGTAACTCGCGCAAACTAAAACAATATATAATAACAATTTAATCAATGCGAAAGGACATATATATTTAAGAAATTCTGTATTCCAATTGATGCATTTTTTAACGCGAGGCGATTAGTGATTACGATGAAAGGTATTGATCGCGATTATACGCATTAATTACTTCTCCAGCAAATGCCGATTTATTTGATTCGACACTTCCGACCGCGAACTTTACTTTGAAAAGCATAGGAAAAGCACAGAGCAAATACGGAGTGAATTGCGGTGTTACTTTGAACTGACGCAAAGCACTACTAACTAAAACGTTAAGTAATTACGCGAATCAAAACAAAGATAGTATTTTACAATAATTTATGGTAAATTTGATTGCTCGCACTACACTGGATTAGTACACATTAAATGCCGATTTATATAAAATATCTAAATGCAGAGGTACAATACAGGTACTTTGATAATGAAATAGTACATAATATATATTCTATTATAAATAACGTGACAATACTATTATTAGATATTTATATTAAATACTATTATATTAAAT